AATCTATGAGGGAAGAGATCTGAATAAGACCTCTAAGTAGTAAACCTCTATGATGTGAATTCCTTGGATTTTTGCCATATGCAGGGAGAGTTGTCTTCTCGTACTGTGGAACCAGCTGTAGATTTTTTGTATCGGCTATATAATACCTTTATTTTGAGGTATAGAAGTTAAAGAGAATTTTACTGAAACTTTTCCACCTTCCTGTAGAACTCTTCACTCTTGCCTGCTTTTTTGTGAAATGACAAGACCATTATCTTCTTTCTTGTTCTTGATGCCCTACCCTGGAAAAAGCCTAACACGTGCCAAGAGCTTGGGTTACAAAGACTAAAGGGAATCAGTCCCAGCCTTAGCCCTCAAGGATTTGACATTATTCTCATGTCTATGTGTGTAGGGGTGGGGGGTTGGAGAGAGAAAGAGAGAGAGACCTTCATAGGTGAATCAAAAGAGAATATCTATGGATGAAATTGCTAGTGATGGGAGGGCAGGGTACGAAGAGTGGGCAGGGCACTGTCAATTCAGGGAATGAGGAAAGGGAAAGAGATGACACTTGAATTGATCAAGCCTTGCAGAGGGCTCCAATTGCCAAGGATTAGTGGGGAGGAAGGAGAGACTTCCTAGACCAGAGGGCCAAGCAGGGAAGCTAGAACTGAAATGTTGCCTCTGGTGATTAGCAGATAGACCTCTTTTGTCTGTGGCCTAAGTATTGAGGAGGAGTAAAAGGTAATGATGCTGGCAAGTTAGGTAGCAGGTACATTGTGCATGTAAGGTTGGGCTTGCATTAACCAAGATTCATATTTGATCCTAGTGGACATGAGGAGTCCTGCCAGAACCTTCAAAGGACTGATAAAGTTAGTGGCAGATATACCTCTCAAAGGTCCTAGTATGTTTGGGATGTTCCTACTAAGAGATATATTTTAATGGTGCAAGTTTCATATTGTCTCCAGTTTGCCTACATACTATACTCTCAACCACATTTATTTAATAATATAATATTATTATTTTTGTTAGAATTCTCAAGCTAACAAGAAACCCACACTCTTCTAGTCATAACCACATTTTTACTGGTCTTCCCCCTAAATCCTTCTTGCTTCACACAGTTGATCCCTGACCTTAGTCTAAGCCCTTCAAGTTTCAAAGTTCTTAATTAACATACAGTCAACTTCCAACAAATCTCAAGATGAGTTCAAGGTTATTCTATTGAATTTCAAGAATTTATTAAGCACCTGCTATGGGCCCAGCCCTGTACTGGGCTCTAAGGATACACAGACCAAAACCACAACAAAATCCAAACCAGACCAAACCAACATATCTAATGAAAACTTTTGAGTGTGGTAGGGATTACAAGCAGACTAGTCCGTTAGTATCATTCTATTCAATATTTATGTTTTTAGGCAAGGCACCCATCTAGTTGATGGAGATATATACAGAATTAGAATAGTAACTGTGTGAGTGGAGAGGAGACAGTTGGGAGAGATAAGATGGAAGTCAAATTCACCATATTTGGCAACTGAGTTATGGGTCTATTAGTATGGCCATATTTGTTTCTTCCCAAGGTCAGGTAGTGGGTACCTGTCTATGGTTAGAGGATAGACCAATTCATCATTGATAAAGTACTTTCAAGTATTCTGTGTCCCATCCTTGGTGTAGCAAGGGACCTGATTTGTGTAGCTTCACTTAGACTAACCAGGGGAACTCAAATATGCCATGTAAGTTCTCAGCTGCTTTTCTCAAAGGATCAATAATCATACAGTAGAAAACTGGGAGGGAAACCAGTACATGAAAGTTGTGCAGCTATGGGATCCCTGTAGGACTTTGTTGGAGGTACAGCTCTAACACCAGCATCCTCTCTGTTCAGGTTTGATTTGGGGGTGAAACAAGGCATTTGAAGTCTCCTTTATCAAAGGAGACTTGCTGTGCCCTAACACAGCTAGGACACACAACAAGGATACAGAAAAATTTAGCTTCTCTGAACATGATCCATATGGAAACAAATGCATCTTGTCAGTAGGACGTCAGGGTATGGAGACTTATCTGTAATGTAGTAAACTGAGAATACAGATCCACATTCTATATGTCAGCTTCTTCCCAGAGTCTTTCTCTCTTCAGCAATCTGTATTCAGCACTGTATATTTTCTCTCTCAAAGCTAGAAGAATCCAGGATCTCTCTCTTCCCAATCTCAACAACTCCACTCTGTTCTTCATTCAGACTTGGGATATTAATCTCCACCAATGAGGCAGAGAGTCCCATCCCAATGGGATTTGGGGCTCAGATTACATTTGTGAAGCACTTGGCAAACCTTAAAGTGCTACGTAAATGCTAGCTATTACTACTGCTGCTGCTGCTGCTGCTACTACTACTACTACTACTATTATTACCATTAATAAGCTCAAGCTGAGCCTAGTGCCATGGCTCCTGGGTATAAAACTTCAAGCTGTCAAAAGCAGAACAACCAGACCTTATCATTCTTACAGAGACAGAGATAGGATAGAGAATAGAGGAAATGTCCTCTACCAATGCAAGTCAGCACCTCCTCTTCAATTTGTAGTCTTAGAGTTTTTCATATAGTACTGAGAAGTTAAATGATTTGCCCAGGATCACATACACAGTAAGTATGAATCAGAGGGATAACTTTAACCCAAGTCTTCCTGACTCTGAGACCAACTCTCGATCCACTAAGCCACAATATCTTTCACGTGTATATTGATTATATATGCACCTGAGGTCCACAGATTGCCCTCATGTTTATTTGAATTATTGTTTTAACATAAATATGGACTGGGCTTTTGGGATCATTTCTTGGAACATGCATTAATATTCTCAGTCTAGTCCTAGACCTCATCATAGAAGCTTAGGGGATCCTACTTCCTTCTTCTCTCTGGCTAATGAGCCAGAAGACCTGATGACTCAGGAATTATTTAAAGCAAGCTCTTGGGAAGATGAGGGAAAATTGGAACACTAATGCATTGTTGGTAGAATTGTGAAATGGATGAAATGAAAATTGTGAAATGATCCAACCATTTTGTTGTTGTTTTGTTTTGCTTTTTTTTTTTTTGGTGAGGCAAGTGGGGTTAAGTGACTTGCCCAGGGTCACACAGCTAGTTAAGTGTCAACTGTCTGAGGTCAGATTTGAACTCAGGTCCTCCTGACTCCAAGGCTGAAGTTCTATTCACTGCACCACCTAGCTGCCCCTTGATCCAACCATTTTGGAGAGCAATTTGGAACTTGCCCAAACGGCTATAAAAATGTGCATATCCTTTGACCCAGCAATAGCACTTCTAGGTCTGTGTCCCAAAGAGATCATAAAAATGGGAAAAGGACCCACATGTAGAAAAATATTTATAGCAGCTCTCTCTGTGGTGGCAAAGAATTGGAAATTGAGGGAATATCCATCAATTGGGGAATGGTTGAATAAGTTGTGGTATATGAATGTAATGGAATACTATTGTACTATAAGAAATGATGAGCAAGCAGATTTCAGAAAAACCTGGAAAGACTTGTATAGACTGATGCCGAGTGAAATGAGCAGAACCAGGAGAAGGTTGTGCACAGTAACAGCCACGTTGTGCGATGACTAACTTTGATAGACTTAGCTCTTCTGAGCAATACAAGGATCTAAGACATCTCCAAAAGTCTCATGATGGAAAATGCTATCCACATCCGGAGAAAGAACTGTGGAGTTTGAATGCAGATTGAAGCATACTATTTGCTCTTTTTTTTCTTCTGTTTTGTTTTGTTTCTTCTTTCTTGTGGTTCCTCCTATTGGTTCTAATTCTTCTTTACAATCTGACTAATGTGAAAATGTTTAATAGGAATGTACATGTCAAACCTATATCAGATTGCACACCATCACAGGGAGGGGGGCAGAAATTTAAAACTCAAAAGTTTATGGATGTGATTGTTGAAAACTAAAAATTAATTAATAAAAAAAACTCCTGGGCTCTTGAACTTTTTCCTTTCTGGCTCTGACCAACTTAGAGCTGGTCCTAAGAAGGTAATTAAACACAAGTGGCTCCCAATTGACTGTTATTTCACATTTTTCTCCTCCTTTTACAATATCTATTCTGAGTATAAGTTTTATAATGGACATAATTTTTAGACATTATAATGGACATAATAGTACCCACAGTAACATATATGTATAAATAGTAAATTCACATATATGGGAGGTATAGAGTCAAAAAACCTTAGAGACTAACCTTCTAGAATTCAGAACCAATAAAGTCCTCCTCATTCAGATGCTTTCCTGAGGCTTGGCTTGTTTAGGCAGCCAAACTAGCCAAAGGGCATAATATCCCCTACTCACTGGTCACTTAATTAGTGTGACAACACCAGGTGTCTGGTGACTGTTCTTTCTGTAGGATTGTCAACTGTCATCTAGGAAGACTCACTAAGTACTCACCTGTACCTATTATCACATACATTATTAAAACTTTCTGAAAAGTAGAAATGAAAAAAAAAATCCACCCCATAGATCTAAAATGATGGTGGAATAGGATAGACTAGGCT